GAGAAATGAGGAAATTAAGATTTATATGTAAATATCCCAATTTTTAAATATTAGCTACCAATTTCCCTGTCAGAAAACATTTTGGGGGCAAAATTCTTAAAATTCAAGCTTATCTGTAGGCTGAATGTGAGCCTTGAGATCCCAGTTTGTGCCTTTGCTGCACATTTCTCAGTTAACCACAGCCAGAGGTGGGGACCCGGGAGGCATGAAGTTGTCCTGAGAGAAGGACCTTTCATTCCGCTTTCCCTCTACCTCCTGTGCCGAGGGTAATCACCCTGCAAAGCACGAAAGCCAGACGCCACAGAAAACTTCTTTCATACTGACCTCCTCTCCTTCACGCCCTATTACACCTGACCGCTATTAACTGCATTGCCTGGGTGACCGTCTGTCCCTCTTGTTCCCAGAGAAGACACTGTCCAGGAGAAGCTGTCGTTCTTGATGGGTGTTCCCTCTGGCCGTGCAGCTGGTTTTGCTCTTGGCAGTTATCAAAGGATTAGGCTCCTGGTCAGAGCTGTACTCTTCCACTACCCCAAGTATGAGAGGTTATTATCCCTCTGGGAACTAGGAGTTAAATTGTCCTCAGGCTCCAGCATATGGGGGTGTTAGTAATCACTTCAGAGAACCGCACAAAACATTGTCAAAGAGGTTACCTAGACAAGAGAATTTTCATAATTAATGGCTATATTTGCTGTTCCATAAATGATTCATTGCCCCAAATATAGCATTTTCCTGTCTGCTTCTCAATTATATATGAATCAGCAATATCTCACTTCACCTGATTGTCCTTATAAAATACCTCTTTCTTAACCAGTATAATTACTATCCTTGCTTTAATATTTACTATTACTAATTTTAAGCCTACACCATTCAGGCTTTTATATTAACTCTGAAAACAAAACAGAATTATCAGTTCTTTTTTTTGGTAAGCCTGGAGCCTCAGCTTCTGGTTCAGCAGCTGAACCAGGAGCTGATGTCTATGGGCAGATATAGGTGGGAATTTATACAGGTGGGACTTCTCTATGAGTAAAAATTACCCTGTTCTGGGCAGGGTCATCCCATGCCACTGAAGGCTCTGCATGCCTGCTGCTGGCCTGTGTTCTTGAGGTAGCAGAGGGATGCTGATGGGAATGGAGGAGGTATGAGACTCTCTTCTAAGGTACATGGCTAAAGTCCCTGTGACCCAACAGAAGAGCAGCTGGCTTTGTATTGGATGTTTATTAAGTGCTCAATGTGTGCCAGGCACTGATGGAGCTTCATCAGCATTTAATTCTCCCAGCTCTTATGTGATGGGAAGTAATAATTCTCCCCCATTTTAGAGAAAGAGATCAACTTGCCCAGAAACACGGCTAGAGTTAGTAATTAGCAGAGACCAAGTTTAAACAAAGTCTGTCTGATCTTTGTCCCTCTTTTTACCTTCTGCGCCATGCTGAGTTCCTCAAGGCAGGAGGGTAGAGGGTATTTAATGACTGAACATCTGCCAAGTATTTGTCACAGTGCTTGGCACACAAGAATCCTTGAAAAAACTTTATTAACTGTGACTGTCATCATTGACTGTGTCTTGTAGATCATTTTAAAAACTGAGAGTTAGGAGTTCTGTGAATCAGTCATTGGTCTTTGTGGCAAGGGCAGTTGCTACCTAAGAACACTTGTGGGGACTGACTTTGCGTTTAGTGCTAGAGGCTCAAACTCGTCGTCATATCAGATGAATGTCCTTGGAGTCGGGCTTGTGAGCAGGTGGAGAAAACAGATGAGAATTTTCTCATGAAATTCAGGTGGAGTTTATTTCCAAAATATTGTGAGTAGACTATTTCCACAAGCAGAAAGAAGAAGAACAAGTTTCCCAAGAGTCCAAGGGTAGCACAGAATAAACCAGCTGCTGCTGTTTGTATGTTCTCATGGTCATGTCCTCACTTGGTATTTAAGCCATAACTTTGAACTTCATCTGTCATACACAAAGAATTTTTGACTTTCCAGTCCTTGAAGTTTAGTGTTTACTTGTTTTTTCAAAGACTGAAACCCTAGATGTGGTTCTATTGAAGGTGGATTAGTATGTCAAAGCAAGAAATTAAGTGAATTAATTTTGCCACATGTCTCTTCTATGGTGGATGTGCTGTTCTTCTAAGAGTTGAAAAAAATGAATATAAATTTTCTGTATAGAAGTGGAAGTAGCTATCCTTCCTCTTTTTTCCTCTAACAGTTTTTCCTTACTGAATTTTAATGCCTACTTCAAAATCAACAATCCCTTAGGTGACTAAAATCCTCCTTACACACACACACACACACACACACACACACTCACTCACACACACCTCAGCAACTCACAGAATTTGATACAAAATATAGCTAAGAAACTGCCATTTGTAGAAGTAACTTAACACTTCCACTCACTAGCTGTGCTCTGAAAGAACATTGACCGCAGTAGTTCCCTTACAGACTTGATGAGAGAATGAAATTAGTTACTAGCATTTGAATAAAATATAAGGTACTCTTTTCCCCAACAAGAAATAGTAGAACTGATTTCTGATTCACTTCTTCATCTATTCAACAGCATTTGCCTTGGGCCATTTTCTGGGGAGAGAGCCCCAGCTCTGAACTACCACCATTTACTACCACCAGCCTAATTATTAAGAAAAATGTTTCTCTTCTTTGTAGAAGATTGGGAAATAATGTTACCAAATTTATGTTGATATGTGGTCCAGCAGCATTTTGCTTTTAAGTTTTCAAACTAAGCATGCTGGGCAGATATTGTTTGGTCAGAGCACTTTAAGGGACAGTGATTTGTGATATTTAGGGGGTGTTGCTTTCTGACTTTATATTGGAGCAGAAGAAGGGAGGGAAGCCGCTGGCTCAAATGTTGTAGCTATGGAAATTGTTGAATCAATAAGCAGCATGCTGCTCCTCAGGTTAGGAAGCCAGTTTTTCTCAATTTTTAGAAGAAATAAAGCGGTTCTTTATATTTAGTAAATGAAGTTTTGCCTTTGAAGAGCAAAATAAAATGTTTACCTGGATGCTGATTGAACTTTTCAGAGACAAGTGAATATAGAAGAATCAGGTCTTTCTACTAAAGCTGTATGGAGTTTAGAATTTGAAATAATGTAATATTGGCTAAGGGACTAGGGATGTGGCTCAGTAGTGGAGCTCTTGCCCAGCACGCATGGGGTTAGCAAGCATGGAGTCCTAGCACGCATGGGGGTACCAAGCATGGATTCCCTCCCCAGCACCACACTAGCTTGACATTCCTAACTCTTTGATATCTTATTAGAGGTTTTCTCGAGCTGTCCTCAAGATGAAACAGCCATGGTCCTTCTTCTTTCACAGCTCTCAGGCTCTGCTGAGTCATCACATCGCAGACCTCTGAACCACATGCTTCCAGGAATAGATGCACCTAGGAAGATAGCGCAACCCAAGAGCTAAGGCGGAAAGAGTGCAGGACTCAGAAGTGTGTTCACAGCTCTGCTGTACAGCTTTGTGCTCATCAGTTTTTCAGAGCCCTGGGTTTCTTGTGCATAGAGTAAGGTTTCCAGAACATCTGAGTAAAGTTAGGGCCACGTTGGAGTTTAATAGCCACTGAGAAGGACAGGAGACAAAGCACTTCAAGGAGAAGTGATTTGTGATTTATGAAATTGTAGTGGCTGATGAGTCAGGCTGGCAGGTAGTTACTGGAGGTCAACAATGCTTTCTTTTTGTTCACAAACCAGGAAAAAAAAATAAGAAACACATGACTGTAGCACAACAGTAGGTGCTAGCGGCCAGAGTGCTGCCAAGTTCTGGAAAAAAGCAGCTAGGATCTTGTCCAGAGGACAGTATGAGAGGACGGTTGTCATGAACTGGTTTCTCAGATGGTTTCTACTCAACTTTCCCTAGGGAGACTGCTGGCATAACATCACCTTCCAGTAAATAGTCCACCCAACCTTGTTTGGGACCTTACTGCCTATGAGTGCAGAGAGATAAGAGTTATTTCATGTCACCTTCCCCTGCCCATCTAGCTTGGTTCTCTAAGGACAGGAGTAAAAGGAACATATCCAACAAATGCATGTTCTGTATGATGAACTTCAGCCACGACCCTCCGAGTGGTTTGGACTGGGTTAAGTATGACCTTTGCTGGCATAGGCAGATCCAAGCCACCCAGCCTTCCCCCTCCCTGGGGCTCTCTCCCAGATTTCTCTCTCCAGTAGCAAGAGAAGCCGGGGGAGAAGTCTCCTTTTCCTTAGACCTGGACCACAGCTCACCTCCTCTGCTTATTCAGTACTTCCCTGTGGGCCAGGGACCTTACTGCCATAGATTGATTGACATCCCTGTGGTGTATAGGAAGGCAGTGAGTTGGAGTTCAGTGTAGGCCCATTCTGAATCCCATCTGTGCCACTTCCTGGCTGTGGCGCTTGGGCTGAGTCACTTAGCTCTGATAGTAAGTGTTGCAGTTATTAATAATAATTGTGTAGGTAGCCTCATTGTGTCCTCAAGCGTCACGTTTTATTCTCAAGCTGTATGCAGATGTCTTTTCCTTAGAGAAGAGGCTCTGAAGGTGTGGCAGGAAAACAGAAAACTCACCCTCTCCCAAACCCTCCACCCCTGAGAAGGTGTGATAAGCTCTAAAGGCCTTTTTAACTATCTCCTGACACAAGCCCCTAGAGCAATGATACTTAAACATCAGGGGCAACAAGGTAGCTTAAAGTAAAAAATCATGCCAACAACTGCAATGGATGAAAAGAACTTTAACCAACTTGCATGCAGAGTAATTGCCAAAAAATTCAGATTCCAAATTAACCTGCAAGACTGATTGCCTCATATGTTTTGACTAAGAAGATCATGGTATTGATCAGATCTATTAGACACCTGTGAAGGTGAACAGAGCTTGAAATAACTTCTTTAGTAATTGTTTCACTGGTTGCTAGTCTAACCACTTTTTCAAACTCATCATTCAGGAAAATGAGACCAGGTCATAAAGTCCATTCAGCTTTCCAAAAATCACATCTGATCAGTTTTTCTGGCTTCTTCCCCAGGGTTATCAATGCTGGGAAGAGCACACACAATGAAGATCAGGCCAGCTGTGAGGTGCTCAGTGTGAAGAAGAAAGCTGGGGCCATTACTTCAACCCCAAACAGGAACTCCAAGAGACGGTCCTCCCTTCCCAATGGGGAAGGGCTGCAGCTAAAGGAGAATGCGGTAAGATCCCCAGTCCTCGATTTTCAGGAGAAGGGGTTGATGCCTATGTACTGTGGCCCCACTGTAAGACACTATGCTTCATCCAAGAATGGAAATGGGAAATTCATTGTCCCAGAGTTAGCAGGGTCATGGGGTCTGTGCTAAGGACATCACACATACTAAGCTGAGGGTCACACATGGTTGATGAGCTTGTGTTTGTATTTTTAACAATGTAAATAAAGAACCATCCCTATATATAACTACCAAATATATATATATATATAGTCTTTGGTGGTTTCCAAGCCACTATTTGTAGGTCTTAGTGAAAGAAGTAATCTGTAAACCTCTCAGGAAGGTTGGAAATAACTCTAGCTGTTGGCTTCTACCCTACTGTGACTTTGCCCCTTCATGTCCACACACTGTAGTTGTCTAGCTGGAGCCTGAGCCTGATGCTCTTCCAAATTAGTATTTGTTTCTATTGGCCCAGAGCCTTTGTAGCCACAGGTGGCCCTGCAGATGGAATGCCTTCAGTTGACAAACCACAAAGCACACCTTTCACCTCTGGCTTCTGCAGAGTAAAGCAGCCATTTCCTCAGAAAGTTCTGAGGAAGTTTTGGAAATGACTTGGGTCTGTCCCTCAGCAGATTATTTAGTTATGTGGAGAGGTCTTTTTTTTTTTTTTTTTTTTTTTTGTCTTCTTTGTCTTTTTCCTTTTTATCTTCTCACTGGAAAAATCCAGGAACATTGAGTAGGTGATCCAATATGTCTATTCAAGTAAACGTGATATTTTTGTTTAAAATTTCATGGCATTTTAAAAGATCTGGGAATCTCTATTTAATCTTAAAATTAGTGTCTTGTTACTTCTCACACTCAGAATAATAAAGAATACTGTTTTAGAGTTAGGTCAGTTTGGCATTAGAAAACACAGTGATTTACAGGATTTGTCAGCTGCACTTATTTTCAAGGATAAAGGGAACATCTGTAAGCCTGTCCCCAAAGAACCAGAGTTGAAGACCCTGATGGATAGGATAAGAAAATAGTGGTTGAGTGACATTGGCTGTGCAATAAGATGGCTCAGCGCAAATGCCACCTATTAGCTGTTTCTTTTCAGGATATTGTTCTTTGAGTCTTAATTTTCTATTCTATGGAAAAGAATATTAACAATAATAACTACCAAATGGCAGAAGGAGACTACTTAGACATCAGAAATCCAATAGTCTATGGAAAACATTGAGCCTGTGTTTAATTAATAAATCTTTAATAAATGTTAGTGATTATTATCCTGAGGCCAGCCCCACTTCTGTCACTCTCCAAGGATAAGGCTCCATGAATTTTCTGTGTGCATTCATTTGTGAATGGTAGATTATTCAATTCCTTTCATTCCTCCTTGACAGGATTATTTTAAGAACTAAGTTATTATGAAAAAGGGTCCAGAAAATATGCGGTATTAATGATAATGGGATATGAGTGCCAGTAGCTTAAAGTTGTCCTTTTTTTCTAATATTTCTACCCTGCCAGTGGAATGTTAAGTGATTTCTGTAAAAATAAGTCAGCGTGGACATTTGTCCCTAGGCTGGTTGATGTTGGCATTTTTCCTTTTTATTAAATTCCTCCTCTAAATGAAGCCTGTTAGCTTCTATCTATGAGAATGAAGAAAGCAGTACATATGTGTTTTAGGATGGAGCCCTGACCCTCCCCTTGGTGATTTTGCCCACATTCTAGGGCAGGGTGACCATTCCCTGGCTGGCCTTTTTCCTCTCAGCCACAGCCTCTGTTCCTACATCCATGTTAGGCTTCTGTTTTTAGTTAAAGACTAAAATATACATGACAGAAAATTGACCATTTTACCATTTTCGGGTGTTAAGTGCATTAACTCATTCCCACCAGTTTTTGAACCACTGGTGGTACAAAGGGATCTACTCCCTTGTACGGATCTTTTTACCAACAAAATTAATACAAAGACTGCCAATGGGACAGTCATGCTTATACAGCCCCTGGTTCATGCCACCTGGCAACAAGACATATGTGTTAAATACATTCACATATTTGTACAACTATCATCATTATCCAACTCCAGAACTTTTTATCTTCTCAAACTGAGACTGTTTGTGAGATAGTCCCTCCCCACTCTTTCCTCCCATCATTCTACTTTTTTCCCCCTTATGACTATGAATCTTAGCACTCTAGGTAGCTCACATAACAGAACCATACAGTATATTTCTGTTTGTTTCTGGCTTATTTCACTTAGGAAAATGACCTTAAGGTTAACTCATGTTATGGCAAGGGTCAGAACTTTCTTCTTAAGTATGAGTAATATTCCATCTTACGTATATGTCACATTCTGTCTCATTCTTTCATCTGTTATGAGCACTTGAGTTGAGTTGTCTTCATCTTTTGGGAATAATAAAAGTAATAACTATAATACTTTTGAACATAAGTAAACAAATATCTCTGGAAAATTCTTTCAGTTCTAATGGATATATATACATGACAATGAATTTGCTGGATACATGGTAATCCTGTTTTCGTATTTTTAATGTTAATTCTGTTTTTTATTTTTTATTTAAAGAAAGACAAAACAAAACAAAACAGATAGAAATAATACATACTTTCAAAGAAAAAAATAAATAGTAATGAATCACTAGTTGATGTTTACATATTGTCCTCTTACAAATAATTGTCCAAGATACAAAAGTGGAATATATAAATGGGAATTCAAACAGCAAGACTGCAAATAGTTCTGTTCAACTATCTAATAAAAACTTAGTAATATGGTTATCAATCCTATACGTTAAAATATACATGAATTTATCCATATCTTCATTTATGTTGAGATTAAACAGACTAAAATCACTCTGAACAAAGAATAATAGTATTGCTAGATTTCATATCATGACACTCCAGAATCAACATTGGGTACTGTAGTGCATTTTTTTCCTTCAAAGTATTTGTTCATTTCATCATGTGTCATAGATCAGTTCTCATAAACTGTTCATAGGTTTTACAAATGCAGGAGTCTTAACATGTATTTCTATCCTTTCTATATTAGAGGGAGAAACAGAACAAAGCAGGACAGAACAAAACATATTCCTACAGACACATAAAACTATAAAGACATAAAACTGCTGTTCAAGAAGTTCTACCATGGTTACTGTGTTGTCTCTTGTTATCATCAATAGAATTGGCTATATCATCAGATATAGTATAATTGAATATATCAGTACATAACAGTATTAATAGAAATACAACTTTGAAGATAGTAGAACTACAAAAACAGGTAGTAGTCAAACCAGAATGGGTATCATAGAGAATCATTGTCAGTATAGTTGTCTATACTCTTAGACTTGATACTATCAACCTTAACAGTTCTGAATAAAATCTGTCAATAACAAACAGTAATCAAACAAATCAGGTTTAACTAAGATCAGTCATGATATAACAGTATACGTTATATAGGAATCCAGATTAAGTTAATAGGAAATTAAAGATTACTGTGCTATATCTTGATATTTTTGGGATAGCTGTCTTTGCCCTCAGATCTAGTGCTTATATACAAACTGGGATGGAATAAGTTCAATCTGAGCAGAGTGGTGTAATATGGGTTTTAATTCCTGATACACTATTAGCAATATCTTCTGCTGTCTTTTTTAAGACTATTGTTCCCCTTTCACTCCCCGAGAGTGTACTGTGCATTTTTGGGTCTCCCCAACACCCTCGGTTTTATATTGGGGAGGCAACCTGCTATTTACCTAAGTGGTTCCGAACCTTCTCACTCCTGGACTTGATCTCTAGTTGTATTTCTTTACCTACTAAAGCCTGTCTTTCCAACCTATCCATAAATACTGGTCCAGTTGCCCCTCTTACTCTCTGGTTCTCTATCACATAGAGTTCTGTTTTCTCATATTTGATTTTTGTTCCATATACCCTTCTTCAGGTTAATTATATTTCCTATGAAGAGCATCTCAGTAGACCCTACCTCTTGTTCCACTCTGCCTGTGATTCTGTCTTTTTTTCCCTTAATTTAGTGTATCTAGGCCATCTATATTAGAATTTATATCCAACCTTCTCTGCCTCATTTCTGTTGTGCTCTTTTTCCTTCATTAGTTGTCTGTTTGTGTTCTTCATTTTGCTTTCTATTCCATTCATTGAGGCCTCTCTGCCACTGTTTCTGAAATCCTGGTACTTCTCCTTGTTCTCACCAGTCTGCCTGGCCTCAGAATGTCATCTGTTGGAGCCCCTTTTTCTGTGGATTGTTTTTATTCCCGTCACTCACCGCAGGTTGATGCAGGTTCCCCTCCAGCTCAGCTCTCCATTTGGCTTGCCAACCCCCCTAACCACAGTGAGTGCGTCTCCAGTGAGTTGAAGTGGCGGGCTTTCGGGTAGCTCTGTAAGTCTCTGCTGCGCAAGTTCAAGCGCTGCAGTGGGAGCACTGAGCCTTTAGCTGTTCCAATAGTAGCACCGGGACTGCATGTTTAATTGGTTTTTCTCAGCTTAGTTTGTTCTTGGGTTGGGAGGATCTATTTCCCTCTGTTCGGGACTCCCCACACTGTAATATTTTTGGAATCTAAGTGACTATCTCAGGGAGGGAGCCTCTGTAGCCTGCTGTTATCTATCCGCCATCTTTACCGGAACCCTAATTCTGTTTTTTATAGTGGCTGAACATTTTAGATTCCTAGCAATATACAAGTGATCCCATTTCCCCACATCCTTCTTGATATTTTGCATTTTTTTTAAAAATAAGAGTCATTCTAATAGATACTAGTCTTATTTCATTATAGCTCTGATTGGCCTTTCCCTAATGGTTATAGTTGTTAGTATTTTTATGTGGTCATTGACCCTTTATACATCTTCTTTAGGGAACCATCTATTCAAGTCCTTTGCCCATTGTTAATTAGATTGTGTTTTGTTGTTGTTTGGTCTGCTTTTTAAAAGCTTGCAAACCATGATGAAGTATGCCAGATCTATCACAGAGTGCTTGCCATTTACCAGGAATGAGATTCCAGGTGTTCAGCAGGGAATAA